CACGTAGTCACGAAAATTCCGACATCCGAGTTAGACCTGATATATCTCTTGAAGATAAAATAAAAAGGAAGAAACCACTAGCTAAACTAGAAACCCGACGACAAAACGGTGAGGAAAATCTCCGGTTAGTGGGTTTTCGGGTTGTCAGGTCTTGGAAACGAATGCTAGGAGTTTTATATGCTAACGCTCGTAGTCTAAGAAATATATTCTATGAACTGGAAGAATTGGTGGACAAATTAAAGCCACTCATTGTGGCAATGACAGAAACTTGATTAGTCTGTGACTTAGACATTACTCCAGAATTATCCGGATACCTTTACCTAGGAAGGGATAGATACAGATGTAGAAAAGGAGTTGGCGTCTTTTTATACACAGCCAATAATACAAATATCCGCTCCTCTGCCAGCGAATCCCATGATGGCGGTACTTGTGAAGTCACTAGCTGTGAATTGGCTGTCGTATGTAGTACATCTATGCTCGGTGTCATCTGTCACAGCCCGATCTGCTTAGCTGATGACTTTATTTTAGAGCATATTCAACTATGGCGTGCAAAAAGCAGATGTTTGATAGTAGGAGACTTTAATGCACCTGATATTAGTTGGACTAAGATGACCACGGAAGGATCCATAAACTCCTTTGATAGTAGGTTCCTGGTAACAATAATGGAGCATACATTAGTGCAGCATGTGTCTAAACCCACATGTTTTGGTGCTAACCAAGGTTCTTCTCTGTTGGACTTGGTAATCACTCATGAGACTGAGGATATTGTCGACCTAAATATTCTTCCACAGTCAGTGAACAGCAATCACGCTGTTTTATCATTCACGTTTAGAACTAGGGACATGTTATACGATCAGGTTACACCCCATCCAAATGTATGGAAATCTAACATATCAGCCATTCAGGAATGCACTGCTAAGACAGATTGGCTTGTAGGTACTAGTTTATCAGTTGAAGGAGCATGGTCTGTATTTAAAGATAAGTTTAGTTTAATTACGTCCTCGTTCACACCATACCTGGCACGGCGTACACCGAATAACAGTTCACCATGAATAACTAAACCAGTCGTGAAACTTCTTAGAAGAAGGAAAGTCATTGGAATATGTACATCACTACTGGCTAGGAACAATACACTCCCAGTTATTATAAGATTAGTAATGCCTGTAAAACGTTAATAAAACTAGACGATCATATGAAAAACAATTGGTTAGGGGCTCTAGATATAGTCCGAAACGGTTATTCTCGTATTTAAATAGGCGAAGTCGGAGAAGCGATGAAATTCCATCACATTTGATACAAGAAAATCCGTTAGTCTGGGCAGAAAATGATACCGAAAAGGCTGAAGCTTTATCAGAATATTTTGGTAAAGTGTTTTTCATCGATAGTGAGGAATGACCAATGATTCATTGTGATTGCTGCGGCTCGCTGATAGATCCTGTAGTCATAGAAAAATGTACTGTTTTAAGGCTACTTCAGCATCTCAAACCTGATAAATCCAGTGGTCCTGATGATATTTATCCTAGGATTATGAAAGCCATATCAGATGGAATTGCTGAACCATTAGCGATACTGTTTGACATGTCTCTAAGGCAGTCCAGACTGCCCAGAGACTGGAAAGACGCGATAATGAGGCTGGGCGTAGAGGTTTGGTTAGTAACCATAGGCCCGTTAGCTTAACTAGAGCGGTCGTAAAACCAATGGAAAGAATCATTCAGATGTCTGTTATAAACTATGTTGAAGGGCATAATCTTTTCTCCAGGGAACAACATGGTTTTTGGAGGAGCCTATCATGCTTGACAAATCTTCTCATTGCAAGAGAAGATTAAGCTGCTGCGAAAGATCGAAATGTTCCTGTAGATGTGATCTTCATGGATCTAAGTAAAGCCTTCGATAAGGTCTCCCCTTCTAGTCTTAAATTCACACTGAAACGTTTTGGAATCCATTATGCAGTCGTAGATTGGATAAGTAGCTTTCTCCACGACAGGAGACAAAGTGTGAGAGTTAATGGAGCTCTCTCCTCGTAGGTACCCAAGGTTCCCCAAGGTACAATCCTCGGTTCTCTTCTCTTTTTACTTTATGTAAATGAATTACTAACTGTAGCAAAATCATCCGTTCTACTACTCGCTGATGACATGAAAATTTAGAGACTCATGCACAGTATTTCGGATAGAATGGTATTACAGGATGATCTTTGCTCATTGGTGGCACGGTTGGACAGGTGGTCACTAGAAGTAAATCCTAATAAGAGTGTGGTGATGCAATTAAATAACTATGATGAATCATGTCATTACATAATATGGGGATTCGTGATACCCAAAGTAAGAAACTATAACGATTTAGGAGTCATATTAAGTAGTGATCTCAAAACCACCAGTGACTGTAAAGCTGCTGCAACGAAAGGCTATAGGGTATTATAGTCTGTTCGTAGGTCTTTCCAGTATTTAGATGACAAAGTGTTTAAATTATCATACCCGATTTACGTGCGACCACATTTAGAATATGGGATTCACGCAGTGAGTCCTTGTTTTAAGTATGAAGCAAACATGCTGGAAAGGTACTAAGATGGTAAAAAGTCTATCTGGCCTATCTTGTGAGGACAGATTGAAACATTTTAACTTATTTCCGTTATCTTACCGTAGAATACGGGGTGACTTAAGATTGGTTTATCGTGTATTGAACAATGACCTTGGTAATAACATGTCTAATCTCTTACTTCCGTCTAGGACTCAGCATTTGAGAGGACATTCGAAGAAAGTTCACAAACCGAGATCAAATCGTTACGTATAGAGTTTCGTTTCTCGCACCGAGTAGTGAATTACTGGAATTCTCTACCGGAACACGTAATATCAGCACCTTCTGTTGATATATTGAAAACGAGATTGGACTTCTACAAGTATTAATATAAGTCGACAGACCTCCTATCCTTACTACTAAAAACTGAAAATAGGAAATATAATGCCCATACGAAGTAAGGAAGTAGATAAAAACTTGAGCTCTATTGTTTTGATATATACTTAGTTGTTTGAGGTCAACTCTCAACTAATCAACCTAAGCTGTTACAGATCTGTGAATCAATGTCCTGCTTTTGAAAAACTACTGAGTTCTTTGACTGTCTGATAAACGACAACGGTTCATCACTTTATGTCTTAAAATGGTTCATGGTTATGACGAGGGAGGACTGCTCTGACAACTAAAGGAGGAAGCATAGAGAATGCATTTCATTATCGAATGCCATGATATTGGATAATGTAACTGATGAAATAACGCTGAAGTTGAACAAACCACAACTCATATTGACTGCGATGGATTTCTGAGTGTCGACGATTCTTAGCCTCACTCATGTCTATTTATACAGGTAACACGTTTTACTTTCACTCTACATTAAGTCTGAGATTCAGTGATATATAAGAAACATTTAAGTGAAATGCAAACGAGGAAGGACAAATCTAATGGAAGAAATACGAAATAAAAAGGCATAAACTCAAACCAAATAGAAATCAGTAACTTTATTTTATTGAAAGATTAAACTGCCAATAAGTATATCTGTAGGGGGATTATTTTGTTCAAAACAAGGACTCGCTATTCTTTAAACCTATGTTCACTCGTCGCCGTATAGAGTTAGACAAGACTTCAGTGTGGGTGCGGTAGGTCTACTTCACTGCCAGGTGAGGCCCTAATTAAAACGGACAAGTCTTTTGACATTCAAGGCAAGATAGTCGCAAATCTAAAGCCTACACATAGTAAGGAGGTAAATAAATGTTTAAGCCATATGGCTTTCATCTTGACAGGAGGTTTTAAGCAAATTCTAACTAACGTAAACCGTTGCATCAGCACCCTTCTAGAATCGACTCGCATGGGAATGTTGGTTTGATCAATTTATTATATAAAATGGTGTTAGTTCAGTGCCTGCAGCCATAAGTGTTATTACAGCGGTTCGCTCAGTGTTTGATCTCAGCATATTTACAGTAAATTATGAATAACCTTAAGTTGATATCCAAGGATAATGCATAGATATCATGTACTTTTTTGGTGTGCTATCTCATCACGATAGCACTTATTTTTTCATCACAAATGATTACACATGACATGTAGCATATGTCTCCTATATGAAAATCAGACCTAGTAAGAAAATTATTACACTATGCTCTGTCTGGCTATCAGGTATTTACTTATTTGTCTCTTTAACCACCCAAAAGTCGAAAGTAAGGTCTATATTAAAAAGGAAACAAATGATATCAGTCAAGAATTACTCCAATGATCTGGCAAAAAAATCAGGTACTAAAAGGAAGTGTACATTTACGATTAACAAATGTTCGGTTTCACATAAATACTTGGTCTCGCAGAATGTACTCGTAATCTGCAAGGAAACAGACTAGTTGTTAACATCAAGGAAATGGAAGTATTTTAAAACAGGACGCGTCTTGAAAGATAATGATCATATAAACCTGCTAGAATTCGGATCCCTCAGTTAACTCTGTTTCGAATTTATCATGTTTTTGGGTAACTCTAAGCCACCCAACTTAAGCAGTTACAGATGCACAACACACCGTACTGAATGTAAAGTGATCCGGTTGCTCTACCGAGCAGTATAGCGACAAAATAATATGTTGAAAACGGAGTTCATGCACACAGATAACACATATTTGGTACAAATATGACTGTTCATACAACAACACGAAAATAAGGGAGATATTTTATTTTATTCAGATGAAAATATTAAATTTCCTGTGTCGCTTAATAAAGGGATTGATTGTCTTTCGCAACTAGTAGCAAAGGGCTGTCTATAACAATGTATCAATGTTTCTTACACAAAGATTTGAAGCTTTTTGGTCATTTCAAAGTGAAAACTGTTTTATTCTTTCAAATGGTCAATATATGGTTGCGCGCGCTTAGGTCGGTTGGACTGACTTATGATTTCACAGTGCTAACTATGTTATGGTCAGTTTGTATGCTCATAGCTAGTTAAGTTACTTGAAAATCGTTATTTTGTTGTGAAAAGTATGACTGAAGTCGAGAATGATTTTGATGAAGTGAGTTTTGTAAAGGTTTGGTTATGCAGTAGAAATCTGTGGATGACTTAGATAAGGATGATTTAATCCGACTGTTTGCTTACCTTCAAGGGGAGCTGGAAGCAAGAGACATAGCACTTGCTACTCTAAGGGTGGGTTGTTTTCTAATGATTTATTTTCAGTCTGAGCACATAAATACAGCCAATCTAAGGGCAAAATATGGTATTGTAGTAAACGACCGACATAGTGTCAGAGACTTGAGGGATCCTTTTCAGGCATTACGAAGAGATTCAGTAAGTTTGATTTATACCGCTTTAGTTCTTAGCTGTGCTCACCTCTTTGCGATAATGAATCTGCTTTAAAGCCACTGTACGATAGCCAGTTATTACAGCTAGAGAATCTCATATCATCTCAAAGGTATGCTCAAAACAAAATGCGAGATCAACTAGTCCTGATGGAAAAAAGATATGTCAAGGCAAGTCATATATTTACATCCGTGATTATTTTACAGGTATGTGAAGAGTTAGAGGAAGAACGTCGAAAACACGAAAGAGATGCTGCTCAAGGCGATGACGTCTTAGTTATGCTTGAAAAGGAACGTGAAAGGCTCAAGTCTGAGGTACTTTGTATTTGTTTTGCTAAATTTTCAGGTTGACTATGAAAAACTACAGAACAAAAAACTCACCCGTGACTTGAGGCGTGTAATTCTCAGTTGGAGGGAACAAAATGTTTTGTGTAATAAGCAAAAATTTGCTGCTGTTACTCTCATAAAAGAGCGCAAACGTCTTTCTAATGAACTGGCTAGCAAGCAGAAACGTGTGGCTGAGCTGGAGCGATCACTGCAACAGAATAGCCTTAATACTAAAGCACTCAGTCCAGATCGTACCAACTCTGATAGCAAGATGACTGGAACAGTTGGTTCAGATAATAACGTGTGCTGTAGTCATCAGTGCGAGTTGTTACGGCAAAAGCTGGCCGAGGAAATGGAAACTCGTAAAGCAATTGAGTGCAGTTTTGAAAGGTAATTCAGTATTTTAGTTCTGACCAACTATATGTTATTTTATACTTTTGTGATATGTTTTATACAGTAGTCATACTTGTTTTCTAAATTGTATTCTTTGAATTTCTAAAATGATGTATCTAGCGTCATTTTAGATATTCAATATTTGTTGCTTGTCTTACATCTCATCAATATGCCATTCATGTTTTTAGAGAAAAGACTGCGGGAACTCGGTTTGTGGGAAATATTTTTATCGCCTTACGTGTTTCTTCATAACCTGTGGAAACTTGTCATATTATTCCATTGCAAGTAGAAAAACTGGGAAGCTAGTGTAAAAACCATCACTATTACAGCAACAATTGCACTCAAACTTTTGGGGATTTAATCATCTTTGACTATTCAGGAAGTTGTTTTGTACTTAGGAATAATGTCAGTTGCACAGGCGTTCATCAGTTTTGGTTGCCCCACCTTAATATAATAAGGTAAAGTTTATAAAGTGAATAACTCAGGAGTCTAAATAATAGCAGTATCCATGATAGAAAATAGACGTACAGAAAATCAGTTCGTAGAATAAAATGTTATGACCTATAATGAAATTCCGTTTCTGCATGGAAGTAGGGGATGAATACTTTTTTACCACTGCAATTGATTTCGAACCTTATCACTTAAACTTTCCAACCGCTGATCGCGATTGCCGCATTAACCATGACTGTATGTAGTTTACATCTTCCTAACTACTTCGAACCAAAAAAATATTAAATTTTTGATCTGATGTCACTATTTGACTTAGTTGCTTGCGGGTTTCTTCCAGCCTACTCCGATCATCGTTACGCATCGCGATGGGCTTTGAGCGTATGTAACATATGTCTTAGCCATCTCAGTAAATGGGTGGGTATTCAGTCTAATTGATTTTTCATGCTTAACTACTGCCCTTCGTCTCTACTCACTTGACTGTTCCATCCAACTCCATGTCAGTATTTCATCAACTATCAACCCACCGACGTTAACAATACTGTCAAGGTAGTTGGTGGTCACCACTTTATAGTGTTGGAAAGCACTCAACCGACCAACTTCACAATAAAGTATGTTAATGGTGAATAAGGCGTTTCAATACCGCTTATTCACAAGCTTAATAAACAAACGATTTAAGCACGACAAGGCATCTTGTCTCGTTTAAAATAATCGAAGCTACTCGTCTTCAATAAAATTTGATAACGAATATTTCTAATCTAACGATTATTTATTGTCTTTTCTCCTGCAGTAGTTTACTTTCAGAACAACATCAGTAAAATACTCTTTTGCTTAAGTGACCTTTGTTTATCTGCTCGCTGGTGATACTAAAAGTACGAAAAATAAATCTTCAATAAAACTCATCCTACATAGTTTGTGGCAAATGAATGTGATCAGTGTTTAAGAATTAGGGCTTAACAGATTCCTATGAGAGTGTAATTGACTTAACATCACATAGAAGATCATTTATTCAGGTTTCAGTGAATGCAAACTCAGCTCACAAACATCCGGATACTGCCCACCCTTGAATACCCTTATAAATTACGGAGTAGAAGTAAACGCTTCCTTTTAGAGTAATTTTATTCTCACTTATTTTGATTAGGCATTGCGAATAATTAAGTATTCAGACATCGAAACGGTTGTATACTTGCTCTCAGGGAGTTATTGACTAATTCAACATTTATATGGCGACGGTGGTATATGCCACCCTAATTCACCTTTGGTATCGCCTGACTAAAATGTCAAATATACAACGCTTTATCGCTAGCAGTTGTTTACCGCTTTAATCTAACCGCATTATAACGAAATCATACGATATTCCTGTTTCTAATCTCCACTACGTAAATAGTATTTTCTCTATTTCGAGGCAACATTTTAAATAATGCTTAAGCCATTCAGTGTATTTGGATATTGTTATCAGTGTTATTTATTGGATAAAATTATCTAACATTATCGATTTAAGTTATTTGAACATATTTTACGTGATTCATTTGAGCTGCATTTACATCGTAGGTATTGGAGCTTTATATAAGAACTATATATAGTCACTTTGTGAATGTCAGTACTATTTTACTTTAGAAACAGTGAGATGAATTAACGAGAAATAAAATTTCATGAATATACTGTTATTTCGATTAATACCTCTAATATGTGTAATTATTTTACAAAACTATCGAATTTCTCTTAGTACTTCACCACGTCGGGTTTTTATAAGTTCAGTAACATAACATGAATCGTAGTAGGGTGGTCATCAGTTTTGTTTTGGTTACTTCTGGGATTCACATAGACGTCTTGTAATACGAACCTTTATAGCGTTTCATGTTTTATACGGATGATATCAGTTAATTGAATTTATAAAATAACTCTTACAGGTCTTAGATGCTTCATTTGCTAATATATGGTTATTATTTTCGCATTACTACTGATTATTTAATGAAAATGTCATGTCTTTTTATGAATGTGACTAAGTTTTTTCTGTGTGTGAATTATTTTGACAGAAAAGGGAGTGTCACGTTATATTTAAAACTTTATTCCCAAATATTCGTACATATTTCCTAATATATTACTGTTTTTTATATTTTCTTTGCTGTATCTTTGTATTTCAGACTTAAAGCAGATTATCAAAGACTGGTATCCGAATCTTACCCCAAGGATAATACAGCCAATCGTCCTCCAGAAGATTCAGTTGGTGTCAGTGTCTCATTGATTAACGGTCCATGGGTTTCTACTGAAAATTATAGTAGTCCTGAGTCCGTCACTACGAATTCTTCGATCAGATTCAAACCAAATCCTCCTCAAAGGCGATCATCTGATATGCCGACTTCCGTGTCACCCACCTCTAATATAATCTCATCTGGATCTATTCTAATTTCTAACAGTTCAAACCACACCGGAGCCACTACTTCTGGCTCTTCTCAAACAGTTGTTGAACAGTGTTCATCTAGATCTCCCTCTGGCAATGTTGGTGAAAAATCAACCACTCAGTTGTCTATTGTCCCTCCATCAACCACATCACCACCTTCTAGATCATCCACACCATCACCTCCCCCACCGCCACCCCCTATGCAGTTACACTACCCTTATCCTGGGATGCAGGGACACTTAAACCATACTTCACGAAGTCAAAGCGGTCCTCCACCTTTTCTTCCAAGTACAAATACTAATCGCCCTATACCGAACTCAATGTCTCATACAGCTGTTGTACAGACCTCTAAATCTAGAAACCTAGCTTCTCATCAATCAAGTCCTCCTTACCAACCGTCATATTCTTCTCCGAATCACACTGTGGTCATCCCTGGTAGAGCTGTTAATAATTCCATTTATTCAACACGTGGAGGGTCACGTAAACCTATGTCTGTAAATGTTCAGCATACCAATTTCCACCACAATCCTCATTCAACTCCTCGCCCTGTTTCCCCTTTTATACAGTCTAAACCTGCATCAGTTGCTCTTCAATTCTCTCAACATAGTAGTTTAGCACCAAACAGCACTTCACATCCTTCGATTGGTGGGCATCATTTTCCCACTCATTCGTTGCATCGTTCCCATCCTTCTATTGCTAATCCTATACCATCAAATGTTAGACCACGAAATCCAATCCAGAATAGTCAATCAGGACTTACTGTAGCGGTATCAGTCATGGGAGGTGGACATGTATGTGTAAATGGAAAATAATTTAGAACTTTCTGTCTATATTTAGATATATTTTTAGTGTTTTTTAAAGAGGAATTCATTTCTAGTTCTATGTTTTCCAGTATCAATGACAAGAATGACAATTACAGCATATATTTTTTTATAAAACTAGTCAATACGTGTACAGCTGGATACATACTACTTATTATATAATCTAATTGTTATTGTAAGCAAAGTAATGTGGTTTTCAAAAATTCTAGTCAGATATCTTAAAGTTTCACATCTAACCATCAGTTTCGGACAGAAAATATGTATACATTTTTTTAAATATTTTTATGACTCAGTTAACCCAATAAATATTCTGAAGTAATGTGCAATTTTCCATTTTTAGTTTTTCATTAATTATTACAGTGTGCAGGTACTGCTGATATAAGTATTATCATTATTACTATTGATCCGTCTAACTTCATTTCCAGTTTATCCATCTTTTTTTGTTTATTGAATGAATGGTTCACATAATGGTTGTATTTATTTAGCAAAACTTTGTGATTCCTTATTATGCTTTTATATTTTTAGTTCAGTTTTTAGATAATTTAATTCCTTCTGGGAAAATTCTTACCAATGAATTTATTTAATTGTGAAATAATATGCATTTTACTATTATAGTGAAACAGAAATAATCATTGATATCTGTTGGATATTTTATGTTTATCATAATTTACTATCTTTGTATCCCTGTGTTTTGTTCAATAGCTTGTTTTTTTTCGATAAAACAACGCAGTGCGTTGTTTACTGATAATATCAGAATTCATTGCATAGTGTATAAATTAATTAACTTTGAACAATTTTTTTTTATTGACAGACAAATATTAATGGACAGTTGTGTATAAAATCAAATTTATGATCATCATTAGGGTTCAAGAAGTTTCATATTTATTTCAGCTGTTAATATAACAAATATAAATTTCTTTCTGTGATATTGTTCTGTTATGTTTCATTGACTGAATGAATATTCAGTTAATAGGTTTAACAATTCTCGGCAGGAACTTTAATATGTTGTTCAGGTAAACATGCACAGTTTTTTACATCAATAGTTTCATGTGATTTTTAAGAGTTGATCAAGAAACTTTCAACGGTGTTCTATAAAGATTTTCCAATGAGTTGTCTAGGATTGTTAGACTTGTCTGCATATCTGAAAGATTATCCATTAGCACGTATAACTGCATCATGTATAAAAAATATGAATGTTCACTAGTTCTAGAAGTTATTTGTTCAAGAACTGTATGGATCCAAATGTAAGTTATTATCATCAATCACACTTTACGTCTTGCGTTTATTTTTGCGAATGCTAGATGTTGCTTTGTGATTGCAGCATGTAGCTGGATGAGTTATGTTATTGTTATAGATCTAATTCGAACCATATGAGCTATATTTCATTTCTATGGAGAAGTGTTATAAGCGAATAGAAGAGTGATAAAATCTTTATTAGCACGATGCAATACAAATATAGTCTAGTTGACATGCTGTTTAAATAATGATTTAGAACAACGGAGCAATGAGTGGTAAAGTTCAAGTCTTAAGATTTCTACGTAGAAATAGAGTATCTTTAGCTTCCACGTATTTGTCTTGTCATACTAAGACTTCTGATATCTTAAGGATCCCCTAGGCATGTAGGTTGATCGGAGCATGAAATATCAACTACATTTCGTTACATGAATGCATTCATAATTTAACACTCATCAACTGAGTACAGATGTAGAAAATTATTCAAAACTAGGCTTCCTACACAGCTTATGGGGACCTCGTTTGTGGAACTAGCTGGTACTTTTTTTTTAGCTCGGCAGTGTCTGTAACGTTGGAAGCTAGTTTTAATAAATTGGTGGGTTCGTATGAATGTATTCGGACTAGACGCCATCTTTCTAGTACTTAGTGTGTCATTACTAATATCGTGTTGATACCCCCTATCATTTTGGATTTTTAGTCTTGAGGATTCAGTAATCGAGTTCTGATAGCAGAGAACCTGGAGGGTTGAAATTTATTTACGAGAATTAACTACTTGAATGTAACTGCATACAACTATTTTTTTTAACGAGTGTCCAAACACTTGAATTCTAGTCGTAAGAAGATTTTTGTTGACTTTTTCGGGCAACATTGTTACAAGAATACTCGTATACTCACTCAGCTGTATATTCCCTTAGTCGTATTAATCAGCTAATAGAATGCTTTACTCAAATGGCCACTTTTGCATAATCATTCAAAACAATTATGAAGTGCCAATTATTTCTTGTCACTCACTCTAATCGATATTTCAAGGTAAATTATATAACTTACTAAACTAATGACTATAAATGTCTTCTCATCCCATTTTTTTTGTTCATCCTCGAGAATACATCATTAAATAACCAAGTTTATGAATTAATTCTTTTAATGAATGTTGTTTTTTTATCTTGAGCAAAGTATATGTTCACAATAAATGATTTTCCGTCAAGTTTAATAGTGACATTAAGAAACGTACTCTATATCAAATCAACTGGTAACCTTTAAAATATTACTAATTATCAGTTATATTGATTGTTTTCTAAAAAAATTGTTTTACTTTTGTGTGAATTAATTGAATAATAAATGAATGATTTATTTATGATCAGGAAAAAGAAATCATAATATCGTTGTTTACGGGAAATAGTTGTTACTTAAGGTTTATTCCAGACTTATAATAAATGAATTTAATTATCACTTTCAACCTATATGTATTACATTTCTTGGAGAATTTGATTCACACATGGTATTTAAAAAATATCTACTCTTTCATGTTTTTTCTTATTTGATAATATTGAACTTTCATTGTAACCATGTTTATTTTATACATATTAGAATTATGTTTATTATTGTAAAGCTTGAATAGAATACAGAAAGATTTATCTACAATGTTGTATAAAATCACTTTTTAACATTTATACTGGTTTATCGTGGCAATTTGATGATGACCTTGTTTATATGTCTGATTTACTTGTGTATCGATCGGTTTTTGGCTAATGAATATTAACTTCTGATTGGTTATTTAAAATGAATGACTTATATTCATGTGGGTCACATAGTCATTGAATTCTTAAAAAAATATGATGGTGTAACTGGTATACATTTACTGTCATATGTCAAAAAAAGTCTTATTTGCCATATCGTAGAAATAGGTTATCATTATGCTCTGTAGTTATAGTTTCTCACGAAAGTATATTGACTATGGAATAAAAACGACATCAATCAAAACACCATAAAGTACTAGGTAGCTGTAAAGTTCTAGTTCGGATATTTATTAGTGATTCGTTTATTCTGTTATTTTTGTGTTCAAAGTCAGCATCATAGACCTGTTAGAAGTGATGTAATATTCATTATTTAAGATTTCAAGGAACACAATTATAAATGATAAATTCACTTCATTGAGATAAACCGACAACCGTTTCAATTAAAGCTCATAAAAGATAATTAGTCAAGGATTTTATAAACTAATAAATAACACGCTTTGGTTTGATCAGCTTTCCTTTTATTTTAACTCGTTATTGGATAAACAAAGTACAACAATGTACAAGGTGATTACACTTACGTAACCAAGTCAATCGAAAAGGCTTCAAAATCTCATTGATCTACGTATCGACTTAAAGTATTTGTTCGTTTACAGTTTATAAAAGGTAAGTTCAATTAATGTAGGTAATTCTTTGCAGGCCCTTAATGATTGATTGGCTTTAGCCCATGCATTTCAAATAATTCCAGCATCCGATGTCATGTCCTGCTTAAAATGTCGGTATATAATAGACAACAAGAATGAATTTGTTTATTATCGTCTAATCTGAAATCAAATAGGTGATCCTGATAAGCATAGATAGATGTATATGCCTGTTTAAAAACGTTTCCACCTGTCTGTATTTTCTATCTATCCTAGCTTTTCATCATTGCATATATCTCTGTATGTCTGTGTTAAGACCAAAAAATGTTTTGTACTGAGAACCTCATATTGTACTAAACATAATAATGAATGAAGCCTGTATTATTACTCCATTACACTTAAGATTTGACATTTTTTGTTTTGCCATTCACAAGTAAGCATTGTATTTGGTAGTTTTTTGAATGACAAGTAGTCCAGTTATTATTTTAAGATAAAAAAATGCTATGGCTAATTGTTAGAAACTGGAGTTACAACTGGCTTCTTGCTGCTGTATAACTGAACAAATACTGATATGGTTTAGTGCAAGGAGAAAAACAATACTGGAGATAAACATTTTATGATAAACTTATAATAAATCTACAACTGATCAATCATTTGATCAAAAATATACTGAGTTATGTCACAGCTACTTATCTAGCAAATAGTCATTTTTGAATATATCGAAATATCGATTAATCAATAATTCAATATATGTATACAATTTACAATATCAATAATTTAACTAATTTAACTAACGGATCGAATTAAATTATTGAGTTACATATTTACTCCTTCTTAAAAGTCACTAGCTTGATTTGGTTTTTAATGATAGTGACAACCTCGCAGAGGTAATAGTCACGGTAGGGACTGTAAGTTAATTTAGTTAATGTCCCCATTCGTCATTTACTAGTTATTTCATAGAGTCAATGATGTAATACGACGTATTTTATGAATGTCATCAATATGTTCATTGAAAACTTCACTATATACTGTAGGGGGACACTGAATTCAGAAAAGTTGTAGTTGATTCAATATGATTTATCAGTTAATTATGCATCTGATGACCGCTTTGTGAGGAGCACTTTGTTCATTTAGTTTGGACAAAACTAACTTTCAGATTTGAAATATTTTTATTGATATATTTCTAAAAGAACTGTAATATCTTCTATGTTCTCATACTTTTTATAACAAATATAAATGTTGAAGATAAATGCAAACCACATAAAATGATTTAATTCCCAAATAGTTAGGTACAATTCAAATGAGAACCACCTTGAATACTTGAAAAAGAAATATAAACCATTTACTCAAAGAATATATTCAATATTCTTGTGTCGTGATAATTGTTGAAAACGATCGGATTAACGATGTTATTTTATCAGGTGTCTATTGTCCTAATGCTTCACTTCTATTTAATAAAATCCTTAATACATTTTAGAAAAAAATATTTCAAATGAAATAATTTCTTACACATAGTTCCCTTTATTATTTTAAAGAGAGCAAGAACAAAAATTGGTGCAGAATAATATGAATTCATTTTATTTCGTTAGGTTCTCATCAGCTGCTTACAACCTAAAATATTTGAAATTCAACATTAATACAGATATTGACATATTTATATATAAGAGTGTGATTAAGGATCAATACATGTGTATGATGATGTAGCGAATATTCAGATAGAGTTAATGAGCTCATAAAATGTTTGATTCGAATAAATAAATAAAGTTTGAGAGGGAAAGTTCCAGAACATTGAAATAGTGATTAGAACTCATGAAAATTGATTAATGGTAATAAAGAAAATATGAATTGAAATCAATCAGTTGCAATAATGACGTAATAAATAAATAAATAGGAGCAAATTAATAGAAAGAGTGGGGGTTATTGTTACCAGGGTAAAGAAAGATTTATTACTGTCTCTTTTTGTATACATAGATCTGGTTTTAAACGTTTGATTGCTAACGCTTCAGCGAATTTCAAAAGGTTCGAGTTTGATTGTTTGTTAATCACCTTGAAGGACTTCAGTATATCAGCTTTATGTCCTGTATCAAGGAGATGTCTGGCGATAGCACTGTTGAATGCGTTCAATCCATTTAACCTTAAACTTTTCGGAATATGTTCTTTGAATCGGACGTAGGCTCTCCTTTCTGTTCTACCAATGTAACTGCTTTGGCAGGTACATGTAAATTTGTATACACAGTTGGTGGTAA